GATCCCCTGCCCGGGTGTTTCGCACTATATGTGCATTTTCGGCCCAATGGTCTAGTAGTATGATTCCATCTTAGGGTTATGGCCGGGTTCCATTCCCAGTTGGGCCCTTTTTTTACCCTCGTTGATATTTTATCCCTTCCGGACGGTTGCCTGTTATCGAAGTTGTGAGGGAAAGGTCTAGGGTTCGATCCCCTGCCCGGGTGTTTCGCACTATATGTGCATTTTCGGCCCAATGGTCTAGTAGTATGATTCCATCTTAGGGTGATGGCCGGGTTCTATTCCCAGTTGGGCCCTTTTTTTACCCTCGTTGATATTTTATCCCTTCCGGCCATCAACGGAGGAGGTCTCAGGTTCTCAGGTCAGCCCAAAAAGCGTAGGAGTCGCTGGCGGCGACGAGGACGCGTTGCGGCGTAGAAATTAGCGTAGCAAAAATTTTTTATTATATTTTTTTGCTGGATCCTCCCCGCTCTTTTCATTATATTTTTTTGCTGGATGGGAGGAGCTCCTCCCGGCTCTTTTCGGGCCGCTCACAAATAGTTCCAAGCTCTTCGGTGGTTCGTTCGCAACACACAGTTAGTTGACTGCTGCCCGTGGCCCGCGCTTGAGCGTTTCGGGAAACTTTAAAATAACTTGTGAGAGAGGTGCCAAAAGAAAGAAAAAGACCGCATAACTCAACTGTTAATGTGCGATGGACGGGCATCGGACCCGTGACTCACGCTTGGGAAGCGTGGATTTTACCACTAAACTACCAAACGCAGTCTGACATTTAGAAGTATCTCTCTGGGATTGATCCAAAATTCAAACATAGCGAATGTAATAAATAAACTCATCCTCCCTACCACTGAGCTACAGCTGCTGGCGTTGTTTTCTTATTTTTCCGCAAAAGTGAATGTTGTATGTAAACAATATAAAAACCGTGACCTATCATGAAAGGTCTCCTCAGGAACTCTACGCCAACACACAACTCACGAGCACATGGAATTCTAACTTGCCTTTTTCTATCAAAAAGCAACATGACCGTGTTTGTTTTAGCACAAGCAATAAAAGTCATCTCTCAGCATAGTCAGGAGTCACGATGAACGCAAAAAACGATAAAAAATAGAGCGCACCAGCGGCGAGAGCAACATGGATATGGTGTGGAGCACAAGAGACCGCAGTAAAAGAGAAAAAAAAAAAAAAAGATTAACGAAAGAAAAAACACTTCAGGGATAGTTCCAATACGCGCAGCCCCCCATTCTAAAACATCATGCCCTCCACCTCCTTCGCGCCGGCCCCAAACCCAAACTCCAGCACCACCGCCGCGGTCATGACAACCGTCCACAGCGCCACCAACGCAAACCCATAGGTCCTCTCTGCACGGAAACCCTTGAGGGGCACCCACACGGCCGAGAAGGCGATGCTGGCCAGCAGCCCATACAGGATGACCAGCACCGAGGTCGAGGTGAAGATGGCGATCTCGTCGTCGTCGTCGTCATCGTCGTCATCGTCTTTCTTGAGGAGCGAAAAGCCGAGGTACTTGGAGGGCTTGCCGCCGTAGAGGGTGATCACCCAGATGGTGGAGAGACCGATGCCGAACAGAAGGTTGAGCATAGGCGCCACGAAGGAGGTGCGGACGCCCATGGAGGTGTAACCAAGGTGGGCGAGGGAGATGTTGGTGACAAGGTCTAACGAGATACAAAGGTCAGAGACGAAAAGAACTCCCCAAAAAAACCAAGAACTCACCACCCAGGTTGCTTCCAATAGCATACAGCGTGATCGCGACCAACACGGTCCCAATGCCCAACACCGCCCCCACCGCCAACACCACCGCGACCACCTCCTTGGCCACAAAGTGCAGCACCGCCAAAGACCCCAGCACCGCCAACACATGCACATACCACGTCATGCCCGCATCCACGCTCGGTGCCGCCTTGGCCGCATTGGCCGTCAGCATCCCCGCAAACACCGACATCACCACCGACGCATACACATTGTACGCCGTCATACCCACAATGTCAAACACGCACTGGGTGATCAGGAACCCGGCAAAAAACGTTTGGGCCAGCACCAGCGTAGTGGGCGGGAGGATGATGTGCTTGCGGGGCGTCGGGGTGGGGAGGGGAAGATGCTGCAGGGAGGCCGAAGGCGAGGTCGACGACGGGCCAGCGGCGGCGGCGGAGGCACCGCCCACAAGGCTCGGCCGCCCATCGGCGTCCAACGCTGGCATGCTGAGCCTAGGCTCAAACACATCCTCGCCCTCAAACAGCACCTCCTTGGACGCCGCGCGCGACGCCCGCACCGGCACAACGCCCTCGGGCACATTCGCCAGCCTCGCGCTCTCATTCTCCGGGTCGTACACCGTCGGGATCATGAGCCTGACCACAAAGATGGACGGCGCAATCACAACCGACAGCACGCGCTCAAACAGCGTCCGTCGTTCCCACGCCGTCTGCTGCACACCGTACCCGATCGGAAGCGTCGGGAACAGCCACTCCAGCGTCGTGGCCTGCGCCACAAGCGACGTGCCCTGGAGCGAGCCGCGGCGGGCAGACACAAAGCCTCCCGCAGACGAAGTCGTGCCAGTCAGCTGGTTGTGCACGCTACGGTTGCCGGCCTCGGCAACCGCGTAGGCGCTCCACAGCGACTTGGACTGCCCGCGTGAGATCTGACCGCTGATCTCGCCCGCCGACGGGGTCAGCGTACCGTAGGATCTGATCCTCGACATTCCATTTTCGCCCGCGTCAAGCCCACTCTCCAAAGACCCCAGCCGGCTGGAGCTTCCGGCCAAAAGGCCTTCTTGAACCTCACCGTCCCGCGCCGTCTCCTTTGGCGGAAGGAATCGATCAAAGTAGGAAAAGATCAAGGGCCGGTTGCGCTCCGACGCCGGACGGGGCTCCCATACGCGGAAGGAAGGGTTGTCGTTGACGTCATCGTCGAGGAACGGCGGCGCGTCCTCGTCCTCTTCCGGGACCGAGTTGAGGGGCACATGGTCGCGGCCGAACCAGTTGGCGCCAAAGGTGACCAGAATCATGTAGACGCCGTACATGATCAAAAAGCCCGCACCCTCAAAGAGCTTGATGTCGTCGTCAGAAAGGATAATGATGGAGACGATCACAACCTGTTGTTTAAATGGTGAAGTTCAGAGAGTTATTGAAATTTCTACAGTAAGAAGAAAACGCGTTAGACTTACCCCTAGGAAAAACACTGTATCTCTCAAAAACGCCCTCCGCACAAACTTGAACGGATGGAACATAGCCACCACTCCCACCATAAAAGTCGTCACCACAAACGCCGACGACACAAGCTCCCCATACGCCAGGTTCGTCTGGCCGCTCCGCGTGGCACTGATGGCCGCAAACACCTCGATGGAGCCGTTTCCAAACGCAAGGAGAATCGCCGTGATGACGGTCGCGGGCACACCGAACCGTCCAAGGACCGTGCGCAGTCCAGAGCCTGTAAAAAGCCATGGATTAGAATAAATACTTGAGGCAGGAAATGCCAAGGGCTTACCGAAAAAGTCAGCGGCGACGATGCCAGCAACAGAAAACAGATTCAACAAATAGAGACCCTAAAAAACACTCGGTAAGCTAGCATCTCTCAAGACAACGCCCAAACAACAACACCCACCAGCATCATCAACATGGGCGGCACCGCAATCCAGCTCCTCCCCACCCTGCACGCCACCACCTCCGTATACGAAAACAGCGCCCCCTCCCCAACGCCCCTGCACGCATCCGAGCGGATAAATGCGCACGGATCCTTTTCCTTCCACAGCCTATCCAAACAATGGTTCCGTTCGTTGGGGTGCGACTCGTGGCCGTCCTTTTTCTTGTCCTTGTCCTTGTCCTTGTCGTCGTCATCGAGGATCGACATCGGGGGAGGGGCAACAGAAGCGTTGCGCCACGGGGTCGCAGTGGCCACCGCCGATTTCCGGTGCTTGACGGCCCCTTCGCTGGCCTCGACTCCGGTGGCCACCAGTGCCAACCCCACGGCCACGGCCATCACTCCAACCCACCGCCGACTTTGCCTTTTCCTGTTCCCACAGCACTGCTTGCAGCGATGGCCGATCACCGACGGGTGGGACCGCCGCCTGTGGGTGCCGTCGTCGTCGCTGCAACCTATCCGCCTGTCCATTGCACCCGTCGCCGTCGCCGTAGCCGTAGCGATCATTCCGTCACTGCCGTCGTCCGTCGTCTGTGATCCGGCAATACCTCGCTGTGCTTCGCGAATGTGAAAAACTTTGACCGAAACGCCGTGACGCCAATAATGTCTGCCTCTCCGCAAATAGGGGGAAGAAATGAAACAAAAACGAGAAAATTCCCTCTCCTCCTTCTCCTCCTTCTCCTCGTTTCTAATTCCTGCCAATCTCGCCTCTCAAACCTTTCATGGCGCAAATCCTTTTTCGGTGTGTCTCCCGGGTCTCCCCCTCTGGCACCAATGGCCACACGGGCGCATACCCTGGCGCAAATCACAAAGTTTTCTCCAAAACAGAAAAAATCTCCAAAATTAACTGCTGGCGCAAGTGGCTCAAATGTCACCGTCACACAAGCACCGCCCCCCCCTCAACTCCGTTTCGGAAACTACCACCGGACATGCACTCCGCTCACCCTCCCCAAAAACCGTCGGTAAACGCCTACCAACACTCCAAGCTCCTCGCCCGCCGCCTCCCCCCTCGCGCCGCCGCCGCCGACGCCGCCGCTATGGCCGCCCATCTGCGCCAACAGCCGCTCCACCTCCCCGTCGCTCCCCGGAATCGGCACCGACGACTCCTGCGTCACAGTCCCGTCCTCCACCCTCTCCGTCTGCGACGTGCCCGTCTGCGACGTGCCCGTCTGCGACTCGCCAGGCTCCGCAGCCACCGCCGCCGCAGCCCCCACCACCATCGCCCCCGTCCCCCCATGCACGCCGTCCCCATCTCGAGCCGAGGGCACCACCCCCGCCTCAACCAGCTCCTGGAGCCTCCGTCGCAGGGGTCGCGCCTTGGCGAGCGCAGCGCGGCGGATCGATGCCACTTCCTTGGCCTTGACATCCGCATGGTACGCGAGCAGACACGCCACGTCGCCGCCAACCAGCGGCGGCACCCCGTCTTGCATGCCAAAGGGAAACGACGCCAGGGCCCGAAACTGCGCCAACACCGTCGAGTTGGGAAGAAGGGCCGGCAACTTTGCAAGCACGTCCAGCACCGTCACCACCTCCTTATAACACGTCAACTCCTAACAACTCATCAGAAAACCCCTCAACAAAAAGCAAACAACGCCCTACCTTCATCTTCCTCGCCCACCCCCCCACCCCCCCCCCCAACCCCCACAACCCCCCCCCCCCCCCCCCCCCCCATTCCACTTCCCGCGCCTTTCTTAATTTTTCATGATCATCACACCGCCCCACCACCCCGCTTACAACCCCCCACTCTTACCATCGTTTGTGTGATTGTGCAGGAACACGTTCCGAAGAAAGGAAAAAAAAAAACCAAAAAAAAAACAGCGCATCAAGCACATCGTGTCTTTTTGTCTCTTGACGCGTGTTTGCTTGTTGAGAATGCGTCGCTCATGTTTTCCCACGGGTCGTGTGTGGTGACACAAAGGTTGCGTCTTCCCAAATCTAAATCTTGGCTGTTGAGAGTGTTGCTTGTGTCACGCAGCTGTCTGAATTATTGAAAAGCGTCCAACTCGCCCAGTCAGTCCTGGGTGGTGGCGCCTTTTGCTTGCGAACGCGTCAAAAAGTGCTGCTTGTTGCAAATGCGCCCCCAACTCCCCAGTTCTCGAGTGTGAAGGGAGAGG